TCCGATCTAGCGTAATTAATTTAACGCAGTTAATATTAATTAACTTGATTAGCGAAAACCCCATTTCGCGAACTCTTAGTCTTACGTTCCCATTGCGAGAAATCCAAAAACTTTCACCGTTTTGTTGTTTTTTCAGCGGCGTCTACAAATAATGCACTTCCTTAAACGAAATATCTAACGAGGGGGAAACTGAATTAAAAATAATAAATGTAATAAAAATAATCCTGCCCGTAAAGATAAATGTATAAGAATAAGACATCATTGAAGCTATAAGTTGGGTATACCGCTTTGTGTTATTGTTTAATTTATAAAAGAACCTCAATATAAGCGAGTACTCAGTGTTCGAAATTTGCAACGCGACCGCCGTGTTAGTTACGTCGGATTTCTGCATTTCCGCAAAGATCGTATTTTTGCTGTTTGCGTTTGTGACGTCTACACTAATCGGTTTTATTATGTAAGTTTTAGATATCGAACGCTGTGACATTTATTAATTTTAAACATCGCACTTTATGAATCGGAACGAAGAGAAGAAAAAACTTCTCACTAATTGGCTAACCCGCTGTCGTTTGACTACGGGTGGTGCGTTGGTTAAGACGTCGCGCATTGGGGCCAATATCTAAAACAATCGCGATAAAGGAAACCACTTATTTAAAATTAGAAGCTAAGCTAATAACCTGAAATATACGTTTACTCCGGAATCAAAATTACAATAAACGGTTATTGGAAAAAGACAGCGTATTATTTTTTTTGCTGCTTATTCTGAATTAGCGAATTATGTACGGATTAAGCACGCGGAAAGTGTTACTTTAAGATTTCAGCTTCGTTATTCGAGTGCTAATTATTGAAAGTTTAAACCTATAGATTTGTTAACGTCGTGTCGATTGGAAATGGTTTTTTCTAGTAATTTTTGTATATAGTCCATGTATGGGTTAGTTTAAGTATGGGTAGTCGTATGATTAGATTTCACTATTTGTTAAGTTTACAATTAACACTTTAAATAAAAAAAAAACAACGTTGATGCCAGAGTTTCTGACTTAAGGCGCATGCAAATTGACATTTCGTGCGTCATTTGGCACATGCAGAGTTCGAGCGCTATTTCAAATTTAAATGTGATTGAAAATCGATTTAATTTTATTAAATGGTTAAAATTTGTAGTGTCCTATATTGCAATAAGAAATACGTTATGATTAATGGAGTTAGTACCGAAAGGCACGTATATAAGATGTTATTTTTACGATTATGATAATTTTTGTGTTTTAATTTTGTTGAATTTCCAAAAAATAGGGATCTGCGTAATGGCCAAATGAAATTTTAACCCTGTCATCAATGCATATTATTGTAACTGTATCCTTTATTCTTCTTTTAATATAGTTTGTTATGCAACACCCTTGATAAACATTATTTTAGTCACGAGTTTCACCAGTGGCTGAAGAAATTTATGAACGGGTTGTATATTTTTTCAACGCCCATTGCTTTTGGGTGCATTTTTAGAAAACAGCAATAATACATTCACTGAGTGACATGTGACGTGACTATGAGAACTGACAAATCTCAAACGACCATATGCGGTTAAAATCTACTGAAAACAGTCGATCGCTCCTAAATTCGTGATTTTTGTACCTTAAATATTGGGAGCGGCTCCCGAAGATATATGGATAATGAAGATGACGTGTTAAAGTTATATGAGAAACGACTTTTCGTGCGAATTTGCTTTCCTTCCTGAATAATAGAAAATAATAAATTAATTAAAAAAATATAATGAAAGTTTGCATGTTGGAAGATTCATAGTGTTTTGTTTTATATGTAACTTGGAAAAAACTTATTATTTTGTCTATTGTTGATCTTGATATCTTTAAAAACAAATGAGTTACATTAAACATATGGTACATAAATATTTAAATGTGAATTTCGTTACAATACGAGCACAAAGTATTTTAGCCGATCAATTTTCTTTGATTATGAGTACAGATATCTGCCCAAAAAAATTCTATTTGATATACAGCTAGAGCGATACAAAAATGAAGAAATACGTTAATATTTTTAAATATTAATAATATATTAATAATGCCCTTTGAAGTATTTAGTGATTTTTTCAAATTTTGCGATACGATTTAAAAACAAAAAAAAATCGAGTATTTTACAAATAGGCAGTGTTGAACGGTTCTTGCCCAACTAATGCACTACAAGCTTTATATGAAACTAGGGGTCAATAGTATGGCTGTTAAAAAATATTTTGCTGAACTACATTGTATAAACATTTTTTTCTGTATTTTTTAAAAATCTCTTCTCTGAATGGTTATAACAATATCGTTAATATGACAGCATGTAGAAAAATTAGTTCTTCTTTTTAAGTGAAAATCGTGCGACGGACAGATCAAATCTGCTTTTTACAAAGCTTCTGAATTCCTCCTGCGTCCGATTTTGCTGAGTCGAGCTAACGTTTCCGCAATCCTCCTGTTGACTTCTTCAGAGCTTGACTGAAACTGCCTAGCATTTTACTCTGTACCTGTATATTGTTTGAGGGGGGCGGAGCTAAATGAAGGGCATAAACACTGTCTCGGATGACTGATTCCCATATTGGTGACAGATAAAGGCCTGAGTCGAGGTTAAGATTACTTATAGATTTCTATAGGATTCTCGTATTTTTCGTTAGTAGAACCATTTATTACATGCGAGAATTTTAGTTTTATCGAATAAAATTTTAAGTCCGGTTTCGTGATTGTATTCGGCAACTGCTGATGAAGTCAGCTCTGAAAAGCCAACAGGATGATTGGCGAAACGTTAGCAAGTTCGATTCAGGAAAATCCAACGCAGGAGGAATCTAGAAGTTTTGTAAAAAGCATTACAGCAGCCTGTAAAACGAATGCAAATGTCTTTTTTTTTTAAAGAAAATATGTGGCATGTCACTGACTGTCTATGAACAAATAATATATTTTTTAATTGGGTCGCCACTGCACCGGTTAAATCGAAAACCCTTTTTGTGAATAAGAAAATATCTATCTAAAACAAAATATCTAGTTTTTAGTTGAAAAAAATAAAGAAATTAACTATAATTTTTATTTTAAGAGAAATCAGTGGCGTACAGTCTGCCAAAATAGGCATGTGAAATTCTTTTGCGCCTTTATCGCCCTGTATCTCAAAATTTAAGACGTTTAGGATATATGTTCATAAGAAGTTTTCCTTTTGAAATGTTTTCCTTAAAAAATCTCCCGCTTAATTATTGACATTCAATTAGAAAGCATCCTGTATATCCCGCACCAAAAGTCTCTCTTGGCGTGGCATAATGTAATGATACTAGCCGAATATACAGGGTGTCCCAGGACATGACTGCCATAGCTTGGAAGTGTATTGCTGGGGTGATTTCAAGTTAAAAATATCAAATGAACATACGCTCGCTATTCTCACTGAGCTACAAGCATTTCAATTTTTAAAGACCAGTTAAAAAGAAACCGCTTTATTAAATTAGTTGCTCCAGTATCACGTTCGGCTTTTATAATATTATTATTAAAAAGTCCATGTGACTATGAATCTTACGTATTGTGACAGTAAACGTCAATTAAATAAATTCTGCATGTTTTTGTTTGTGTGTTACATTAAAATACTCTTCGAGGTACAATGTTTTCTTTTTCGCCGACATTCACTTTGGTTCTGGATTGCGTAATGGAAACGGACGAGCGACAGTTGCAGCAATAGGCAAGTTTCCAATAGCTACTCCTGAACGTCTCGGAACTTGCTCAAGAAGTGGCGATACTTAATACGATTGATGCTCAAACTTCTACTAGTGTCCGAAGACTTAATGTAGGCCGGATGAGAGTATGGAAAACTTTACACAATTTCGGTTTGTACGCATACCACATCTTACAAGCTTTAAAAACTGTCGATTATGATTCACGACTTGAATTTAGCCGCTGGATATTGAGAAATAAAAATAATTGTAACATAATACTATTTAGTGATGAAGCCTCATTTACCCGAAAAGGTATCAATAACGCCAGGAATTCACATTGTTGGGCACTTGAAAATCCAGACAAACTAGGGAATCCCATATTCAAGATGGATTTTCCGGTGAATATTTGGTGCGGCTAGGGTTGTGGAATTGACCAGGTCAATTTTTTGTGTGTCAATTGACCTGTCAATGAACTGATCAATTGACCGAAATAATTTTAAGAATACCAAGAAATTTATATTTATTTATTTATATTGTGCGTTACGTCGCTGTGGCGTTGTTCTGGGAACCAAATGGAGTCGATATTATTATTGGGATTCCCCGAATCGCTAAGTATCATATTCGGATATTCATTAAAGAGGGTTATAGGACATCACAAACCCATGATAATTTAATATAAAATACATATTAATCTTTAAATAATGATAGATAACACTCTAAAATTTCAAGATATTATTTAAAACATTTTTGGACTAGTCATTTAAAAAGTGGTCAATTGACAGGTCAATTAATCACGGTCAATTGATCAGTCGCAACACTAGGTGTGGCGGCAACTTCGTATTCAAAATTATACAAGCCGGTGGATTGGAAGAGGTTCAGCAGTTCCTTGACCAGCAACGTCACCTGACCTTAATCCCTTAGGGGACTGAAAATCTTAATTTATGCAGAAAGTATTGAAAACGGATCAACTGATAACTAGAATTATGGATGCCGCAGAAACTATGCGTGCTGATCCTGAGACAGTTAGCAGCAATTCTAAGAAGAGTTAGACTATGTATACAGCAACTGGGTGAATATTTTGAACAACTAATTCAATAAAATAAAATATAATAAATAAGTTCAGTTAGAATACCGTTCTGTTCCACCAACACACACCCAAGCTATGGCAGTCATGTCGTGGAACACCCTGTATATAGAAGAAACCCAGTGTCGCGTTTGGTGATAATGTAGTCTCAGATTTTAGGCGTATAAAATACGTAATTTTAAAAATAAACGCAAGTCATTGGAACCCGGTACCAGCTCAAACTCTTCATTACAAAAAAAAACGACTTACGTATATTGGAACATCCGTGGGCTTTCCCGTGAGGTACTGTTCCGCACCTTCGGCCCTCATCCCATAATACAAGGCCCAGACGCTCGGCTTATCCTCGGCGTCGGCCACCAGCGACGTGCCGACTGCATTTTTTTCCACCGGAACCACCACCTGTTTGTCGCACTTGAAGTCTTTGAGAAAAACACTGTCACCGATCGTTCTACTCTCTTTCGTGAGTTTGTGACGACACAGGGTACCGTAGATGAGAGCGTTGCGCATACCCCTGGACAACCCCGCGACGTCGTCGTGAAGGAAAACTGGCGCCGCGGGCAACAGAGCGTCGGACGGGCGTCGGTTCAAGGTCGGCGAGTCGCTGAAGCCGCTACTGGACGAGTTGGAGGGAACCCGGTAGATGTCGTCGTCGCGGCAACTCGATGACGAACGTCCGCTGGAAGATGACTGACTGAACGCCCTGAAAGCGTAGTTATAGTTGGGCCTTTTGACATCTTCTTTTTGAAACTACACCATTGTTTCACTTAATTAATTAATTAAATTATCAATTAATTAATCGAAAGTGAAAAGTGACTGATTCCAGTTTGGCACAATAGAGATTATTACACAGGTCTACAGTGATTTTGATGTTTGAAAGCTGTTTGCTTATTTGTATATTTTTGGTGGTCCTTTTTCCAAAAACACCATATTTTTACTCTCTCACGTCATTTTTTTATAGCGCTCTATATCTGAAAAATATTATTTTATAAATACACATTCCTATGACATGAATATGTTTTTTGTAATTTGGCAACACCGGATAATATTAGATTTCTCTGCAACAATATTCCTGATTTAAATTCAACATTGTACATTGTACATCGCACATATTGTACAATAGTAACAAACTATCCTCGGTTCCCGTTGTACATTCGGTATAGTTAAAAGAAACGTATAAAAATTTAGGACTTCTTTTGAAGATAAACTACCAAGAACATCAGTGGATGCTTTGTGGTAACCTTAAAGTGCTGTGAATGCTCCTAGGACAACAGGAGGGTTATACAAAATTTCCATGCTGTGAGTGGGATAGTCGGGCAAGAGATAGACATTGGATGCATATAGAATGGCCCTCTAGAACAAGTCTTCCACCTGGTAGCAAAAATGTATTAAGAAATAGCTCAGTTGACACCAAACAACTTTTACTGTCTCCTCTTATATTAAATTTGGCTTGACGAAGCAGTTTGTTAAAGCCTTAGACAAAAATGGACAGTGTTTCAAACATATTTGGGAGAAATTTACACCAGTATCTGTTGCCAAGATAAAAGAAGGAATTTTTCTTGGGCCGCAGATATGAACATTATGCAAAGATAGGGATTTTCAAAACACAATCGAGAAAAACGTCTAGGTTTCATTTCAAGAAGTAATTGATGTTTCTTCGGATCTCTAAGGACGAAAACTAGGAAAGTATTCTTCAAAATATGTTACAACACTTTCATCGTTTAGGATGGATGTAACATGAGTTTGAAAGTGCATTTCCTGCTTTCACACTATTTTTCTGAAAAGCTTAGAGCAGTTAGCGAAGAACAGGGATAGAGGTTTCACTAGAACATTAAGGAAATAGAACGGCGATACCAAGGCAGATGGAACATAAGGATGAAGGCGGACTACTGCTGCTACTGACGAAGATTTCCATCAAAAAGTCTGAGAAAAGTTTTTTTTCACTTCTTTTAACTAGGATTCCACTTTTTTACAGAAAAAAAATATTATTTTAAAAATATCGTTTTTTTTAGTATTTGCAAAAAAAACTTACGTGATATAAACAAATCCTTAAATTTGTTGAAACCTGCCTATGAAAATTATATAAAACCAGTTTTCAAAATAAAAACATGTGTCAAAAAGTTTAATTTTGTAGACCTGTATTATTAGAGGTCTAAATTATTGAGATAGGAGGTTTCTTCTTCTTTCAGAAAGAAAAATAATTTTAGAATTAATTGTTAATGGAATGAACGATATTATGTTGATTTTTAATCCCGCTCGTTTAGCAAATAAGGAGTAGGAAGAAATTGTTAATAAAGTTCTAAAAATTAAAGCATTTAAAAATAAATAATAATTCATCGAGTTATTTGCATAAAATATATAAATATGATTATATAAATAAAGTAGTTAATGATAATGTAGTTAATATAAACGAGTATTTTAATATTCGCTACCTATTAACCTATTAATTTAATGCTCACAAAAATTTAAAAATTGTCTCTTTTTCGACAAAAGAATAAAATTAAAAATACCGCAATTTTCTAACCAACACATTTTTTAAAACGTTAGAAAGACTTAAATATTTTGAATTTATAAGTAAACCACTATTTCTGTAGACGCTCCCTAAAAGCGGCACTTCAGTAATCCACATTGCTCTATAAACTGCACATTTTAAAAAGTTTACCTCTGTATACACGAGAACTTTCATAAGAAAACCATAAAATTTTTGTTTTTTACGAGTATATAACAAATTTTTCCGTAATGTCGTGTCAAAATCACTTCGAATTAGATACAAAACAAAGTATGAAAAATGTGTACGAATTCCTACTTAGAAAAACGACAATATCCTCGATAAAAGATATTTTTAACATTGAATCATTAAATAAAATTGTTCCTACTTTGGGTAACCTGAAGAGGAAACTAGAAGAAGATGAAACCATTATAATTATTAGCCGTGCCTCCTTCCTAGAGTTATTTGTACAATGCAATTTAAATACCGGAAATAATCAAAAACCAAGTGAATATTTAATTACGATCAGGAAATTAAAAAGTTTAATATAAGAAACTTGGTTCAATATACGCGATACAATATCCAGAGGACGGGTTGTCGGTAAAAGCACTTTCAAAAAAAGGAATTATAATAATTCACGCTGATTCAGTAGAAGGACTAATACCTGCTGTCGCCGGCGAAGAAAATTAAGGACTCTATCTTGTACTATTATCAAGATTATCTTTAAAAAAATATTGCATATATTGAATATCTTAAGGTATCACATCCGAATTCCTGAAGTACAAAACCAAGTATAAGAATATTAGTAACAATATATTCATTTTGAATCCAGTTACAAGAAAGCACAACTTTTGGATGTGTTGAATTATTATGCTATTAAAAACAGTTGGGGCATACCTTAAAAGTCAGTCTCTGTCCTACAATATGGACTGTTCGGGTGTTTTATTGCCGTCGCGAGGTTCTTTCGACAACTGCCGTCAAAATCCAAGACTTTGAGACACAGAATACGAAATTACGGAATAATTTTGGACTTTGCCTAAAAGTGGGAGGCAATACTTTACTTTGCCGGTAACATATACACCAAATTCAAATCACTTATTTTATTGTTACCGAATCAAATGTCCAGATACATTATGCGTCTTTTAGAATAAACAAAAAGGAAACGCGTTTAAAAGTGACTGTTCTAGTACCTCATTACCGAGCTGACCCGTTTGCTGTTGCTCAAGTTGACGCACAGCCTCCTCATCTCTTCCTCCGTCGTATTTCGCAACGCGTCCAATTTTAGCGTGATTTCCTCGTTAATCGTCCGGAGCATGTCTTCCGGGCTGCCCATTTTCCCGTCCAACGTGCGGTTGATGCTCGCCAATAGATCCACCTATAAACGCAGTCACCATTGTCATTGAGGCGCTGTCGACCATTTCTGCGACGCCGCTTACCAACAAGTCCTTTACGGACAAATCTAGTGAGCGACGTGCGTCCGGACGCGTCGACTTAATTTCCGGTACGTAATTGAGGCTCGTATATAACAACAATGCGTCATCGACCAGGGAATCGTACCGGCGATCCATCGGCCAAATGGGCTGCGGCACAGGAAGATCGACCCTCCCTTCCGGTATGGTGGACAACGTTCCGCCGCCGCTGGACGATGATGAGTTCGGTATCGACGCCGAAGACGCCTTCGCCGGGGCGACGCCGACGCCTTGACCCGCGACCTGCGGTTTACTCGCGTGCATTTAGCGTTTTTAGTTGGGGACCGGTTATCTGACCGGTAGGTCCATACTTATTTTACGAAAAAAGTTTGTGACTTTGATCTTTTTACAAAGTTTAGCAAAAGAAAAAGTTAACGCCATCCTATATCGATCACTGGGTGCAATAGTGCCACATCTACAAAATAATAGTTTCGAGACAATCAGTGCTTTAGGAAAATAAAAACTGAAATATTTATTACTACTACTACTTATTACAAAATTTATAGAGATATGTTTTATAATTATATATTGATTTATATTATTCTCTTTTTATAACAACAAAAATTTTGAAAGTCCTTTTTTAAATGTTTTAAAATTTTGTACGGTTATTGATTTTTTTTTGCACATATCAATTTCACAAATAAAGTGCAATATTTTAATAAAAAAAATTTCAATAAAACAGTACATCAAACTTTTGAAGTAATTTTATTATAAAGAAAAGTATAAAAATATAATACAGCAGGTTCATTTGCGAGTTACGTATATAGGGGTAAAAGACCCAAACAGGAAATTAATAAAACACTAACAAATGTACTTAAACTTTGGCACATAAACAATAACTACAACAAACATCGAAAAGGTATAACTCAAAAACAACCGACCTATAGTTTTTGATACATGTCGAAGTAGGTATTATTTCTATAATATGAGAAACAACTATCAGATTAGTAGTCTTTTAATATGTAAACAACAAAAACAACGGGTCTACAGTTTTTGTACTTAAACTTTGGCAAGTAAACAAGTACTACAAAAGGTATCCAAAAGCTGTAACTAAAAAACAACCGACCAATAGTTTTTGATACCTAGATATTGCAGTAGGTATTATTTCTAAAATGAAAGAAACAACTATCAGATAACTAGTCTTTTAACACGTAAACAATAAAGAACAACGGACCTATAGTTTTTGGTAGAGAGCTACTGTTGTTAAAATTATAAGAAACAAGAATTATCATGGCACGTAAACAAAAGGTAACCTTTCCTACAACTAAAAAACCCTGACATTTCAGTCTTTGGCACCTCTCAGGCTATTATAAAAATGACTGTGACATTTTTTGATAACATTACTTTTTAGAAAATCCATTAAGTCATTAAACTTTTCCTTTGGAATTGGTATAACTTCTCGATAAGCACGGTTTCCAAAAGATGTAAAAGTCGCGCCTGCTGCCATTTTTCTTTGCGTAATGCTTATGCTTCTGTAGTCAGTTTCACTAAAAGATGTTTTATAGAAAAATGTGTCAGGTGCACCTTTTTCTACTTTCAAAACACACGCGTCATTTATTTTGACAATATGGCCTTAACTTTCCCAATGAAAAATCAAAATGTGCCAGTATTGTTCGTTGTTAAAATACGAATGTGCAAGTTTTATGGTACAATTAACTAAAAATAGCTATTTTTTATGATATGTGCCATTATTGGACCCAGTGAAAAAATACTATTGAATACATAATATTCTTTCGAAATTAAAAATATATAAATTAATTAAATTAATATATAAAAATTTGGTTGGTTCCATAAACGGCGATGCTATTGATCTAAAGTATTTTTAACGCTGCGACATTGCCGCTTCTTCGAAAAAGTAGCATCAACATTCAAACTTTAAATGGGATCATATATATTATTGCATTTTCCGACCCCTTACTACTTTCTGATTGTTACCACTGTAGCCAGTAGGAATTTAACATTTTGCACATAGCTTAGGGAGGTATCGAAGAGAATTTGTTAATATCGAAATTAGTTCCGCATTATTCAGTGTTGCTCAAAAATAATCATTTGCCCACCAGATCACAAATCTTGAAAAGTGCATTTTGTTACACCTAAATCGTTTGGTTTCTGATATTCTAGCAAGTTTCTGTAAAAACTGGATTACTTTGGAATAATTCACCTTTTAGGGGGCATTTTCAATCGAAGGAATGAACACTTTTATTCTGACGGCAATTCGCATGCTACAAAAGAAATGGGATTTCAAAGGAAATTTAGTTTAAATGTGTTTTGCTTGTTAAAAGATAATGTCTGATTTTTAATTTACGATGAACCCTTGACGGCTACAAAAGACCTTTAAATATTATCGACAGACAGGCTTGAAGAACTTCGGACATCTTGGTACCAATTAGATTGGGCACCAGCGCACTGCACTAAAGAGATGTCACAAGAATTATATGAATTATTTAATGACCATTCACCGGATTTTAAACTGTTTTGAATGCAATGGTGGACACTTCGAACATCTAATGTCAAAATTGCATTCATTTTTCTGTGTGCAATTCTTATTTTAAGTATCTGATATTTTGTTAGTGTAAATAGTTTTTAAAATGTATTTTGTAAAATGGTTTGTGGAGATTTTCTTAATTCTGAAAAATTTTGTTATTCGTGTGTTGTAAATCAGGATTAGTTTCCTTAAATTTTCTGCATGTCATCAAAACATCATTAGAATACTGGTTTCCTGCCATTTTGAACCGATTTTATCCATAATATTTGCACCACAGTCAATAATGAGTAAATCTTTATTGAACTGTCAAAGCGAAAATGAAATATTTAACATAAGACCGATATTTCCTGGTCACCTAAAATACAAATTATACTAAAGTAATTCAGTTTTCAGAGAAACTTGCTTTACACAGTATTAATTTTGATATGAAGAAATAATGTACAGTACCTTTCAAAGCTACGTCCAAAATTTAAACTTTCTAGTGCCTCCAGTGTCGAATAATAAAAATCTAATTGAAGCTATGTTTTGATCGAAAAATAAAGGAAATAATTTCTAGAAAACCACTAAAGATAGGTATAGGAACTTATTATTCAAAGACAATCCTAAAATATTGTCCCATTTAAAATCTCAATGTTGATGCTACTTTTTCGAAGAAACGGCAACGTCGCAGCGTTAAAAAATTTTAAATGTGCAAATTTCGTAAAAAGTTCGTGAATTCACATTTTTTTCACAACAAGACTAAAATTTTCAATAATTTCCATATTTTGTAAAATTAAAATGAAAATTCGCAAACTTTTTACGAAAATTTCGATTTAAGAAAATAATATTTTTTAGGCCACCAAAAAGAAAACATAGCTTTTAGTTAACTTGGGCAAATTTTTGAATAATAAGTCACAATTTCTGAGAAACAAGTGAGAATTTCTGACATAAGTCTCTCGTAAGGTACTTTGAGAAACATTCATAAAGAATAAGCGATCTCTTCTAAACTTAAGATTACAATTTTATTCTGAATTTTTTTCATCAAATTAGAAAGTTATTATTTTTTGCCATGATAATTACGAATTTGAACCTCATTGCTTCTAGAGGGCGCTAGTTTCGCAATATTATTTATTTATCTGTAATCTGGTTGAAATGGATAGAAATCTGTAAGAATTTTTAATTTTTCATAGAAGAGTTCAAGGTATTTTTTTTATATAACCAATACCAATATTTAACAACTTACGAGCACATATCAGAAATTCTAAATTGTGTTTCAGAAAATGTGTGAGTTTCGTAAAAAGTTGGTCAATTCACTTCGTCACTTCACTTTTCTTCCATAAAAGCTAAAATTTTCAATTCTTTTTAAGAGATTTCATATAGAAAGTTTGATTTCACAAATTTTTAGAAAAGGTGTGATTTTCAGAGAGAAAAAAAGGTACGTTTTCGTAGAAAAAGTTCAATTTCATATAGCTATAAGATAATATAGACGCGCCTGAGACTGCTCGGACAGAAGGACATTAACTGCTGGGCATGTACCTAAATTCCACACACTAATGGTCAAGATTCAAGATTTAAATTTGAACAATTAAGAATTCGTCTGTCCGTCACTGGGACTCAAAGGATCTATTGTGACTCTCTACATAGCTTTATAGCTTTATCTTGGTGTAGCACGTTTGGTTATGGTCAACAGATTACAACGCAATTCAACAGTTATAACGGATGTGTCTCAGCATTTAGTGCTTTTCTTCCACTCTAATTAGGCTAAGAAGTAGACAGTGGCCCGTCAGATTATTCTAACTAACCAAAACTATCTCTCCTTTCCTTTCTATTTTTGCTGGCTAATTTTAGAATGGATTTACGTCCAATCACGTGGACTGCAAGAAGATTTGCACATCTGCGCCATTGTCTTTTTGAACAGTAGAAAAAATGTCACATCCAAACTGTCGAATTCAGTCAGCGGCCATGTTTATTGCTGAGCACCGAAAGATTGGTTAGATGGTTAAACGTGAGTTTCGAACTGGTGCATGAGCACATTGAATGTTCATTACTTCTCAACAATTGATGGTGATTTCAAAAAGAAATATTTAACAGGAGAAGCAAAGTCTCTATATATATGCAGTAGCTATATATTGAACTTAAGGGCTTACTTTTATGGATTTGACGAACGTGGGATTTTGCTCGACGACTGTTCCAGTTTCTTCGACTAGTTTTAGACGATCCGAGTATATTTGTTCCGGTCCGTTTCCGTCGCTGCTGCCTCCGTATCCCGACGAACCCGATCTATCGCCGGCGGAGGCGGTTCGTTGCCGCATGCGGCGGCCTTCCGGGTTCTCCTTGGCCTTGGGTGTGGACGACAGCGTGGGCGACAGTTGGAATAACGGATTTACTCTAAGCGAGATGACGTGTTAGGTTACGTGTTGGTTAAGTAATCTCGCACAGTCAGCCATTACATTTTAGCATAATTGTCCAACGAAAAAGGATGTCTGCATCTACAAAATTTACTTTTCTACTCTAAAATACTCAGTTATGCACTGACCAAACGTGAATTAACTTATTGATTACCGAAAACTGTTTTTAAAATTACTTTTATTCAAAAATGTTAGTTGATGCTTTACGCGTTGCAACCCAACTCTGATTAACTGTAAGCTATCATTGGTAACTCGTGTGCAAAGTGTCACTTTAAGACGTTAGCTTTGTTAACCACTGTTAACCACAGATTCCTGACCAAAGTGCCTTTTATCAAACTTATTTTATACAATATTCGAAAACCAATTGATTTCAATTAATCTGTAGATTGATAGAATCCATCTTAGTCAATAGACCTAAAACGTTTCTAATAACCTTTGGGTGCAAATTAACGTCCGGATATCTCAAACAGAAATTTGTTTTTTCAAAGAAACTTCCACAGGTTACTGTAATACTATTTGCAAAACTTCTTTATTCCTCCTACGCCGGTTTTGGTGACTGGAACTTGACGTTTAGCCAATCGTCCTGTTGGCTTCTTCAGAGTTTAAATGAAACTGGTTTGCATTCTACTCTGCTCCTGCTTATGTAACGTTTGAGGGGGGCGCAACTAAAGGAGGAATATAAACATAGATGAATACAAGAATTTTAGTTTGGTCTAATAACATTTGTTCGGCAAATGCTCATGAGGTTGTTTGTCGTAGACAACTGAAACGTAAATTACTTTCTATAAGCAAATCAAGATTTTTACAGTACTCCTTAGGCTTCGGAACAATCTTATTTAAGGTAGTGTAATTTTCTGGCAAAATGCGCAACTTTTCTTTGGCAAAAGAGGAGCTAATGGAGGGGAAAAATTGACTGATTTTTTAGTTGTTTATAGATTTCTATGGATTCTCGGATTTTTCGTTGGTAGAAGAATTGATTACATGCAAGCATTTTAGTTTTATCGAATAAAATTTGACGTGCGGCTTCGTGATTGTGCTTGACAACTGCCTATGAGTTTATTTGCCTCAGTCTTCAGGCTCTATCATGTTCTTTGAGCCTAGTTGATATTTTTCGTCCGGTCTCTCCAATGACACATATGCATCGAATGCTGTAAACTCTTGGCATCTCAAACAGAATTTTGTCTTTGACGAATCGAAGATGTTGAGAGAGTTATGGAGTGTGGTAAATTTGGTTATATTCCTTAAGACTTTGATATTTGGTAAGTGATGTTTTGAATGTAAGGAAGCACAACAGTGGCAAGTATGGCAATGTCTTTGGAAGGTTGTGATGGAGTGTATTTTGTGATAGAATGGTTAATATGTTTAATGTGGAAATTATTAGAGAGAAGAGCATATGTAAAGTGTTTCAGTCTGGACTGGGATAGTTTGCCGACTCTGCAAACAAGAGAGTTGAAACGGATGATTTTTGGGCCGGTGTGCGTAGGTTTTCTGTAAAGAATGACCTATTGTTAGGTTTGATTTTCTATTGATAAGATTATCTAAGAATGGGAGATTATTATTAGTTTCTAATTCAATGGCAAAACGTATATTAGAGTGTATAGAGTTTAAATGTCTAAGAAAATCTCGTAGGGACTGTTGACCTTGAGGCGAAATAACAAAAGTATCATCCACATAGCGTTTCCATAATTTTGGTTGTAGATGGTAGGTGTCGAGAGCTTTATTCTCAAAGGTTTCCATAGATATGTTCGCGATGACTAGTGACAATGGAGAACCCATAGCTGTTCCCGACGTTTGTTCAAAAATTTTACTGTTATAAGAAAAATATGTTCCCGACAAGTATTTTTCAATTATGATGAGAAGCTTATCTGAAATGATGTTGAGAGTTTCAGGAAGAGGAATTTTAGTTTTCTCCTTAAAGTGTTGTAATATAGATATTTTGCTAGAGAATATGTTGGAAACCAATGGTACTGACAATAGGTCGAAAGGGTAATCCTGGTTTGTAAATCTTAGGGAGTCCGTAGAGACGAGGAATTTTAGAGGGGTGACAGACTTTTTTACGGGGTTTAATAGAGAAGAAGCCTTAATAACAGATTTAAGGTTCCGTTCCTTAGATGACTTAGGATGTTTTTTAAGTTGACGATATGATCCATCTGTAAGAATATCTTGAATCTTTTCCTGATACCCACTTAATACATTCAGGCTTTGGAATTTTAGATTTAGGAAGTTTTGATTTCTTTAGGATTCTTGCGGTTTTAAATCGAATTTGATTAGCTGCTTGAGATGGAAGTTTGTTTAAGATAAATTAACAAATTTGACATGATTGCTTCTTTTGCGATAATAAGTGGGGCAACGACGAAATATGGACCTTTTACAAGAGTTGATTTTTCCGTGTCCGAAAGTTGATGCGATGATACATTTACCACAGTGTTTGATAGTTGAGGAGAGTTTGATAGTTTCACTAGTGTTGACAAGTTGAAACATTAAATAACCAGAGACAGTAGAATGCGAGCCAGTTTAAGTTAAGCTCTGCAGAAGCCAACAGAATGATCGGCGAAACGTCAGCAAGTTCGACTCAACAACAACTGACGCAGGACTAATCCAGAACTTTTGTAAATAGTTAGAATTTTAGTGTTTTTTTTCTTTTGATTCACTGACAGCGTAATATCTATGATTGACATCCATATATGAAATATACTCTTTTTTAGTAGTTTGTTGTAAATAATCATGCTAAGACCGGTTGCCGTTAAAGAAGCTTTTCAACACTAATTAAAAATAAATTTTGTGTAGCAAGATCCCATTTGGATTAGTTATTTCGTAATTATTGTAAAAGAAACGCCGCAAATTTGGTGAAATGATGCCAAAAATGACACTTTCCGGAAATTATGTTCCCAAGGTCGTTTTTGGGCCTCAAACCATTACGCAATGACTTCGTCATCGGACCATGTCAAGTCGTATTCTCCGTATTATGTAAAATGTTTCGTTTAGTTATTCGGGAGATTGCGTAAAGTGTCCAACTGAGCATCAAACGTTCCCCATTTTTCGCAACGGTGCACAAACGTGATTGCGCCGCGCTTCCGAGTTATATAGACCGTAAACTTACCTCAAAATGCAGCGATGGCGTGGTGCAACCCATAGACGGGCGTTAAAAATTCGATAACATTGCGTTAACTCGTGGAGCTATTAAATAATATAGGAGACTTAAATATCGTATAACCACAACTTATGCGGCTTAGAAATTTTCGTAGAAGAGGTTATGATCTTCCGCGCAAGTCCCTAAATGCCCCTTAACCGGTTATTTCCACACACTTTTTTTTCCTGAAAATTTGATTAAATTTGGGCACAGGCTCAATGCTCTAGTACTTCACCATTTAACTGAAAGTTCACCTTTCACATCGAACTGCAAGTAAGTGTTGTTATTTCAAATTTAAAGTAAGTTGAAATTTTTACCAGCAATTCTTATATTTAAGGTCATGAAATATTATTTACCAACGTGTTCGAAAAAATTGTTAATGTTGAGTAACTGAGATCTTAAGCTAGACTTCGAATTTTGAGATTGGTATGGAAATGTATGTATTAACGTGGGTAAAAAAAAACAAAAAACTAACAAAACTAGTTGCCTCTAGCAAGTAATAATAATAATATAATAATAAAGCTCGTAATATTAATGTGAAGATTATCCTCATTACAGTTGTGGTTAGTTAATCATATATTATCACCAATGGATCATTAAGCCAATTTTATTAATAATTTTTATAGGAAACTGAATGGTCTACAGAAATGGCCTCTTATACTTTTTCGATAAATCGAACCATTTCAAGGATAGTTGAGGTCAAAGATTGAAGAAATTACAGAAAAATAACTTTTTGTTCTGAATTTTGTTATTGACTGAAAAATAATTATCGGGAAATGTTTTCAATTATTCTCATAGCAACTTTAATGCTCCACAAAAAACGTAGTTGTGGTTTATCGATTACTCGAACCATTTTGAGGATATTTGCATTGGAATCCCAATGGGTACTTATAGTCACAATTTTTAATAAATATTTTCAATTTTTTCATTGAATTAGTAAATTTTGAGATTATATATTATCTATTTCGGAAGATAAAAGTTTTTTATTTAAGAACTACCAATAAATGCCTTAATTGAAAAAGAATTCCCTTCCCCCATATGTAATTGTATACCACAATACAGTATTAATACAAAAATATTTAGATTTAGTTATACAAACACTGGTTATATTCATATATTACATGCTCTTCATTTTCCTTATAACTCTCATCTGCAGTCCACAATGCAATGTTAACACCAAGGACATCATATTGTAGCTCTAAGATTTCGAACAAATTCCATGATTTTTGAGAAACGAATTCACTCAAATCCTTTTGAATAATCGTATTGATGCTCTTTTGATTGATCTCAAGTTTTTAACCCCAGAATTTAGACCATCTCGAGTTTTTACAGCTTTGGCTACCTTCTTTTTTATGTCGAGTGGAACAGTATCATCAAACAGTGATAAATTATCAATAAAATTGGCTTAATGATCTATTGGTGGTAAGAGGATTATTTATATATGAGACTAAATCGTAAATGCAAAAGTATAATGAGGATAATCTTCTCATTAATATAGTAAGTACTTTCTAGAGGTAACTAGCAACTAGTTCTTGTTTTTTCTCAAAAATTTTGTGCAAAAATTTAAAATATCTACATAAGAGCTCTTTTTTCTTAATACTTATTATTATATTACAATACAAATACAAATAATAGTAGAGTGCAATCTTTGAAATGTTTAAACAAGAAGGTAAATAGGCTCTTTAGAATAAAATTGCTGTAAACAAAATTCAAACACCTATTTACAAACTAAAAACTATTTAGTCTAAAAAATTTTGTTTTCATTATGAAACTGTATAAATACCTATTTCTAATTGTTTGTATCTCTCTTTTTGGTAAAATAACGTGCATTTTTATTTTTATTTTATTTATTTTATTTGCCACTGTTTTCGGGGTATAAACATAAAATTGACATTTTTAATTCAAGTTTCCTAACCGTGTGCACTAATTTTTTTTTATTCGTTAATTATCACATACGTTTTGAAAAAAAACAGTAGCCTATCTTCAGAGATGTACACAAAATAACTCATTAGTTTAAGAATTAGTTTGCTTTATGTAAGAGATTATTTAAAAAACAAATATGTAGTTAAACGTCAGATAACAGAAGACCAAGTTAGAAGATGGACAAAGGACTTAATTGACTTAAGAGCAAAATTTTGCTGCAATTTAACCGGCTTTCAAAAGTAACAAATAAGAATAAGAATAGAGAATACGGTTAAAAATTTGACAGAAACAGTAAAATATTTTTCAGTTTTCCAAATTTGTTTTACCTTGTTCATTTTGATTTTCTGTTCTTGTTCCTAAATATACTAAAATACCCCATCATATACAGATCAAGCAAATGGAAATTGTCACTTTAAGACCCTTCACTGCCGCTAGCCACTTCGTGCGTTTTCAGGACATGAGCCATGGGTTTGGGAGCGATCAAATGTTTTCGGTTCAGTCGTCGTATTTTGACGATCACTTCACAAGTCACTCAGTGAATATATATTCGTCTAGTTTTGCAAAAATTTACCCAAAAATTAATGATTGTTGAAAAAGTATAGTATCTGAAACTAATTCGTTTATTTCTGCTGCACTTTACTTGTGACAAATGAAACTCCTGACCAAAATAACTTTTATCGAACTAATATACTCTTTGCATTCAACGGATGGAATTGAACTATGATGATTAATTGATGATGTATTGTGCCAACTACTATGTAGACGTGTTGTCGAGATCAAATTATATTTAAATATTACGAATGTAATATTTAAATATAATTATGGTTATGGTAAAATAAAAGATAAAAATATTTTATCTTCCATCTTCAATAAAAAAAATGTAAGTATAAAATCAGTTCCAAAAAAATGCAATTAACGTACATAATATTATAAATATTTACTCTTTTTATTCCTGTACACAACAAAATTTAGGGCGCTACTCCTGAGTACTCGACGCTAACTAATTTTTTTCGAAAGTTTGGCGCATGAAAGTAATGTGGCAGCAGCGTTACTACAGGTAGTTTACTAGAATAATAAATGTGGGATTCGCATTTTTCATCTAAGATAAAAAAATAAAAAATAAAAAAAATTGCGCGTAAGGAAGAGAGAGGGAACGAGTTAGTCCTAAACTACACGTACTTTTAAAAGAGGAATCTAAAAGCAATGTCGAGCAGGATTTAGTCGTTAAAGACGACAAATTCTCAAAATGCTTGTCAAGTATTGTGCGAATCACATAGTGACTTGTAATATTGCTGAATTGTGTAAATACTGTAAATAAACCTTTGACTTGAGATATTAATCATTCTAATATCAAATCTAATATTAAAATACTTAAAATGTAATAATCTATTAAAAATACAACTTTATAAGTAAAGTTTATTATTTTTTTTACAAACTTGGTTCGTTTCGAGGTTTATTAAAATTTACAATCTTGAGAACTACTTTTTCTGAAATGGCTTCTTATTTAAAGTAAAGTAAAACGAATGTGATAATCTTTTTATCGGAAAGCTGATGAGACTGACTTTATCCTCTTGCACAAGTCTGTTTATGTTTTGTTGACTGTTCAAAATGTAAATCTCTGCGAGCATCCATTCTCAGCCAATTTATATCGCTATAAAGATGAGAAGTATTATCAAATGTTCGGATCCCATAGACAAAACGGAGACATGAGTTTTTTGAACTCTTTGTATTCGAGTTCGACTCTCATGATCCAAGCAAAAACCGTAGACAAAATCACAGCAATTAAATTGAAACAAGACAAGTGACTCACATAAGTTTCTTCTCAAACTTTTGCCTAATATTTGCCTGTTATTATAAAGCATCTTAAATGAGCAGCAAGTTTTTTGAAAATAGATTTTAAATGTTCCTTAAACCGAACCTGAGTATTCAATACAACCCGTAAATTCTTTGCAGTAGTAGCAAATTTTAATTTAGTGTCATTAACTTTAATATTAAGTCTACCGACTAAAGGCATAATTCTGTTTTTAATTCGTAGCATTTAATTAGAGGTTGCGGCCACTAGAAAAGCCACCTATAATATGTAAATCGCGATTCAATATAGTCATCGGCATCCAAACAACAATAGAGCTGCGTGTCATGGGCAAATGCGTGTAGCCCCAAAACGTCAGCAGTATAAACTAAAAAGAGCAATGCCCCTAAGATGCAGCCAGAGAGCAAAGCAACCTGATCGGAATATGTATTATTAGTCAAAATAAATAAGAACTAAAAGTTCAGATTTTCACGAAATTATATATTATGACATGACAATTGTTTCGACAACAACGTGTCTTTATCAAATGTGATTGTGACATTTGATAAAGACACGGTGTTGTCGAAACAATTGTCATGTCAAAATATATAATTTCGTGAAAATCTGAACTTTTAGTTCTTATTTATTTTGATAAATGGATTTTCATCAAGAAAAAGCCACCTCAGTTCAATGTATTATTAGTATTAGTATTATTATTATTATTCTTTAAAACCCGTTTGATAGATATGATCTAATTAAACTATACGATGCTGATGGGAAACTATAAAACTTTAACTAACTTATAAGCAAACTGTGATTAATGATGTCAAATCCCTTTGAAAAATCCAATATGCTGACATATTTTCGTCACATGCACTGATTATAACGTCAACAACATTAGTTAATGCAACCGAAGTACCAAAATGTTTCCTTCATATTCGGAATGATATTATTCTTTATAAAATAATCGAGCATACAAAACTTTCTCAATTTTTTTTTTGAAATTGCTGGTAGAATACGTTAATCATTGAAAAAGGACTACAGTATTTTAACATTAGTGGTGAAACTTCGTCGAGCCCGGTTGCATTGGATATCATTGAATTTAAAATTTGGTTTATCTCAGACACTTCGACCATCCTAAAGGGGAAGTTTATGGGATTATTGTATTTATGATTATTATAGTAGACCTGCTGGTCACAGTTTGAAATTTTCTGAAAAAATGTAGCAAAGTGCTCATTAGTTAAATTAGGATCAGAGAATATTGCCGGTATTGTGATATTTCTTTGGGAACAAATGTCAAAATTTCAGACAGCTGACCATAGTTTGCAACGATTATTTTCTGCACATAAGCTGTTAAAATACTTTTTCCCTGCGAACCTCGCTCAAAGTAAAATTCCTAAGAAATTTTTACTTATCCTAGTCCGTCCGTAGTCTACTTCTTCTGAACTTTTTATGTTAACCGTGGTACCTTGGGCTTAGTTACACGGCCTTCTGGTATAGAGGCATGTTAAAAATGTTAAAATCTGGACTTTACTATCGATGTTATTTTCATATACTATTTCATTCCAGGACAAGTTTTCCATCGATACCAGAAACAACCCTACATCAAAATTTTTAAAACTCCGATATCGAACAATCCAGGGTGAAAGTGGTAACCTTGGTAGCTTCATTGATTATCTGTACAATGTCATAATTTCAAGAAGTGAAGTTAACGGATTATTCAAATTAAATAAATTTAAGTCACCAAAAGAAAATATTAAACATAGATATTCTAGTTGCACAT